AGAATGGCTGGTCTGCTTCACAAAGCTGCACTGCCGGACGCTGGGTCTCTTTTTCAACGGCGGCCGGCAAGATGCTGGGCGAATGAACGAGGCCTGCCGCCGGGAAATGCTGCCAAAAAAAGAGCAGCATTCTGTTTTTCAAGAGATCCCCGGATCCCAGGAAAATGGCTCCCCGAAAAATCGGGCAGCATTTCCCCAGGGCGGAGACCAAGTGTGTGGGGTTTTGGGGTCTTCGAGGCCGCCCCATTCCCTGGACGGCCCCCAGGCTCCCCAGCCTGCGCGAGCTTCACGGGAGGCGATGGGTTCTGAACCCTAAGCGTCGGGTACCTCCTCCACTCGCTGGACCGCCGGGCCGCGACCCAGAGCCTCCCCCCGCAAGCGAGGGATAGATAGGGTAGACGGCGACACGACGGCGACGCGACGGCGACGACACTTGTACAGTTGGCTCAAGCCCCTGTGGGGCTCCGTGTACAGTTGCTTTGAAAAACCCTAAACCTTAAACCCCCCTTCTTCTGCCCCTAAACCCCAAAACGGATTAAAAAACTCCTTGGTGGCCCGGTGGCATTGTTTTATAGAGGGTCATAGACCCTTAAAATGGCTGGGGTCGAGGGTGATTTTTGCATGGGCGCGGTTTTCATGTCAGTTATTTCTGCATGGCTTGCTGTTTGATGTTTTTGCGACCCCGCGCCGCGCCCGTCAAGGAAACGTGGGCACATAGTGGCCTAGGAGGGTGGGGGGCTCTGCTCGCGGGGCTTGGCTGGAAAGCGCGGGCCTCACTCTGTCGCTGCGTTCGGTGGGCTTCACGAAGGGCGAGGTTAAGGGTTCCTGTGCTTGTGAGGAGTGCTGTAAGTTTAGAGTGCCCCGCGTTCCCGGGAACCCCCGTAATGCGACCAGGTTCGCCGTCTTCGACTTCTTTGATCAGAGGCAGCGACCACAGAGGCTTCAGGGGGGTTGGGGGTTTGCAGGTGGGCTCCGAGGTTGTGAGGTTGTCTGCAAGTAGATGTCAGGAGTGAGTGACCTGCTGCGCGCCTGCCTGTAACTCTAAGGTGCCCTGCGCCCCTCCCCTTCTCCTGGGAAACCCCCAGGCCCCCTGTTGTGGCCAGGCAGCTGCTCAGGTCTGCGGATCTTCGCAATCCTCTTCATCCCGCTGCAGCCTTTGATTGTACGTGCTGGAGTGACAAATCGCTGGGAGCTGCGTTTGGGGTATCTTCGGGGTTTCCTCTGCGTAGGCAGTCTGTGCAAGCCAGAAGCAACCAGCGCCTTTTGCGTTGTGAGTTTCTTTGTGCGGGGTCAAAGCATTTCCTCCAAATGTATCGCATTCGCACATCGAACTCAGTCTCTTAACGGTTTGAGATGCTTGAAATCCGGTAGCATGATGCAACATTGCTTTCGCACTTCCCTTGATATCGCTTGCCATGGATCAGCGTCCTTCGAATTTTCCAGCATGTCCATCACAGACTGCGAACCGGATTGTTATGGATCACGGACGAGCGGCGCATCCTGGTGGGGCTGCACACAGACTACCAACTGCGACGCCTGCGTTGCAGTATGGTGTGCCTTACAGGCCACAGCCACAGTGGCAAGAGCAGCCTTGTCCTTCGGCATTCCCACCACAGACTGAAATGCAGTATGGTATGCCTTACAGGCCACAGCCACAGTGGCAAGAGCAGCCTTTTCCTTCGGCATTCCCAC